TAAATATATATAGCTTGCCGTTTGAATGTTGAAGGACGTCCTCCTCGGTGGCTCAGTGGTTAAGGCTTCGCACTCACGATTCAGAGAACCCAAGTTCAATTCCGCGCGACAGAGTCTTTTACTGGAATTCTTTTTTTGCATTTCTTATATGTAACTACGTATACATATACGGTGAGTGACGCCGACGCCGGCAGCAAAACCCAGCCGAGAGCGTCTATATAATCGCTATCGCAACAAAAGAATAGTAGAGAAAAGGTGAAGAGATAGGAGGAGCAAGCGACTGAAAAAAAGAAGGAGATAGAAAAGTTAGGAGCTGGTCTAAGAAGTCCGAGGGCACGGCACCACTCGGCGATAGCTTCACGGCGTCAGGAGACTGCGGAGGGCGAACAAGTCGGCGGGAACTACGCTGGTGTCGGGAATCACGGGGTCACAACCGTTCAGCATGACATCCTCCCAGCAACTCCACTTGCTGTCGGCGAGTCAGTGTTGTTTCAACGCGAAGGGACTGTGTGAAAAGAGCACTTCTCCCTGAGGCGGCCGTATTTGATAGATAGATATGTAAGGTTTAACGTTCCAAAACCACCATATGATTATGAGAGACGCCGTAGTGGAGGGCTCCGGAAATTTCGACTGCATTGGGTTCTTCAACGTGCACCCAAATCTGAGCACACGGGCCTACAACATTTCCGCCTCCATCGGAAATGCTCGCGGCCATATTTGCACACACCAGCGTTTTGTAGGAGTTCCGCGATATCGCATCCGAAAGCGTTGGCTGCCAGCCTTACTTCTTATAACATTACAAATATTTGCTATCGCATCCATTGCATTGCACTCAAGGCGCCATCGTGTTGCAGGAACTAACCGGCTAATTGCGAAAGCTACCTGCAGTCTGCGAACCCGCGGCGCAGCGCAAGACGGAAGCGCGTGACGAGTCGACCTCCAAAGATTCGTCGTCACCGTGGTCTCAGGGAGTTTCCAGCAGCGCCTATATAATCTGACAGCCCCTCGGTAATGACGACGCGGTTGTCCGAAATTAAAAAAAGTCACAGTTTCACCGCGAGGGTGAAGCAATGAATTCAATAGCAACAACTTGAAATGTAACGCTCAGAACGACGGCAAGTAGGTCGAAAACGGGCAGCGTGCTGCTCACGCACAAATGACGCACGAAAGCAACATACAGATGACGAGAGCGAACAATGTTTATCTTTCGACACTTAACGCGCTGTTTCAACAAAAACGAGGCACGAAAAGTAATCACAGGTACAAGTATGAGTACAAACTAACAAGTGGTTCAGTTGTTACTGCGCTGTGTTTGAAAAGCGCACTCTTTTTGCAAACGGCACCTGTTCAGTGAGCGAAGTGATCTTTGTGCGCCCGGCAACTAAACGCAATCGGTCTTAGCCAAAGGCAAGCGATTCTCCCCACGGAAGGATAAGCGCGCACACATGCATTTACCCCCCCCCCCCCCCTTCGCGGGGCAAGGTACGCGTGGGAAATAAACGCACGCGTCGGCGCATCGTGTGGAGCTGAGCACCGAGCGCAGGCGGCTTTTTTTTTTCTTTCTTTCTCGAGTTTTCATAGATATAGGCGCGCATACATATACGGTGAATGATGGCGGCGGCAACGGCAAGAAACAAGCTGAGACTGTCCATATGATTGCTATCGCAATAAAAAGCAAAGGTGAACGTCATCGGGGGGGGGGGGGGGCAAACCATGCGCGCGCAGTGAAACTATGCTCGCGCGCACGGCGTCGAAAACGAAGGGCGGCACTGACACGGGCGGATACCGCGCAAAACTATTCGGTAAGGCACCCTCTATATGCAGGGCGTCCCCTCCTCCCCTCCGTATACGTGACGTTAACTGAAAGAGTGGCACTGCCAACGCGCAAATGTGGTTTCCTTTTTTATTATTTTGGGTTGGAGGGGGAGGGGGGCACAGCCACGCATGCAATCGCGGTGGCGAGACCGGCGGCAACGCTGGCTCGCGTGGTGCACGCCACCTGCCCGCTTCGCGATCACCCTCACGCAATAACAAGCTCTCGCCTGGTGCGCCGGACGCCGCAGCTGTTTTGCGCTTTTCGTCGGTGGCAGGGCAGCCGCGGAAGATGCATGCTCGTATCAATGATGCCAAATTGCGGAGCAAAATGCCTAGACTGTCCGTCGGGAAAAGTCCTTACATCAAGGTTCTCTCCCGCTGTTACTTTGTTACATATAGGTCGCAAAAAAAACAACAACTCAAATGTACTATTCCTGTATGTATGTCGCCATCCCTTGCAAATAGCGCTATGTCATTTTTCTTTTTCTTTATTTCCGTGTAGAGCTTCCGCATTCTAGTGTACAATTTCTTAATGAAAGTCACAACCATGTTGGACAGTGCTTGGGTGGTGGGGCCATTGTCGGGCAGGTAATTATGCCTTTAGCCGTACCGTTCCTCGACATGTGTTATGTTGAAAATAAACAATTCAATTCAATTCAATAAATACATGTGCTTCCATGAAGCAAGGACGGATAATAGAAAAACTTCCGTTATATCGAGGAATTTGTTATATGGAGGTTCACCATAAGCACGTTTAACTGCATTAGTACCACAAGGGTCTCAGAAATTACGAAAGCGCCAGTGTTTTTGATTGTTAGAAACATGAAAAGTGATAGTATATTCCCACTTAAATAATGATATTCTTGAAACCAGCAAAAGCAGATGTGTATATGAGTGATTGTCATCAGGATAGTTTACTGTGTTTTACTCTGCTCAATAACATGCTCTATATCTCATAAGTATGGTTGTGGTCAGCCTATACAAAATTAAATATGACATTGCATTTTGATTTTACACATTCATGGCCTCTGAAATGTAAATGATATTGTATGCACAGAATTGCAACTGTTATGCTGTTTTCAAGAACAAAATTGTGTTCAAGAGAAAATTCAGAATTGCAATTCACTTTTCATATGGAAAATAACTCTAGCTTTTATCTTTCAAATAGTGCTTTCTCTGTGAGTACCACTTGAGCGCTCAGCTTCTGGCGATTTGCTTTTGCAGGAAAAGAATGTGGCATAGTGAATTAAGCACTATACTTCTTACTAGCATTTTGTTATTAAGTCAAATCACCTCATTGCACACTACTTCGCTGTCATGATCATTTCTTGTACACCGAATGTGCTAACCTGAAATCACACACTAATTATTCTCACATATACACAACATGTGTTGTTACATATGTTTCGTATAAAACCTGTCAATGTTGAATGAGTAGCCAAATACAGGTAAACTTGCCACAGTACACCTTGCATACACCCCAATTATTTATGTGTAACACGTACAAAGCTAAACGAAATAACTAACTTGCAATAAAACAAAATGTCCCTCCATAACTAAACATCAGGAGAACTTTTCTGGCACATTGCCTTCTCTCGTTACAACGAAAACCGCAAAGCTTCAAAGCTCAGAGTGTCACACAGAATAATGCAAAGTGAAAGGGGCCTCATTGTCTCAACTCTTATTTGTGATAGAACAATGTAATACATTGTAATTAGAAAGAAAAGAAAACTCCCTAAAGTGAGAGTTTTTTATTTGTGTCACACGAATATTGTTCATTTAAACAGTATAGTAAGGTCATAATAAATGCTGATCAAGAAAGTTACTTCAACAAGTTTTCTGCTCTTACCCATAATTAGGGAATAGCAGTTGCATAATGAAAAAGGCCGTTCCTGATGACAAATTATGGACATTCAACAATCCAGGTTCTAGTGTTGTGGGAGCTTCCTAGTATTTGAAACAGTGTTTCATGGATCATGGTGCGAATTTATTGTGTGGTAGTTTTTTATCAATGAAACCATTTACTTAGCCAGAATCAAGACAGGGAACGTTTTTTTGCCGTTGGCAGTGCCACACTTCTGCTTCGGCGGCCCTTCGTAAAATTCCTCACTAGTAGTCTTGGAGAAATTATTGGACTAGGTATGGGTGTTGTATGCACCAAGGGCGTAAAGTGTATGCTCATAATTTGCAAGATGACTGTGTGTTTTTAGATGCGAAGCAGCTCTTTGACTCACGTTTGTGACGCCATACGTACGTGCCTCCGTACAAACGCATCGCGAGGCGTTCCCCATGCCGCAAGTGTTGTAGCGGTACCAAGTAGGTCAAGCCGAAGCTGCGGGTTGACGTCACGCTCCTTTCGTAAGTACGCACTGACGTCACTCTCTGCCTCACCCGCAGCATGCTCGCCGCCGCGCTCGCAGCTGCCGACTTCTCCACGCGATCGCAACACACTTCTCTCTCACTTCAGCCTCTCCAGCGCCCGCAACGCTCGACCACAGGCCAAGTGGAGACACTCTTTCGGCTTGTTTGTCTGCGATGAAACTTACACGAAACCCAACCCGCCTTCCGTGTCTTTGCATATCAAACAAACGTTTACTCGAGCAAGCGCTACACCGAGCTTTGCTTCAAACTGTTCTTCTAGCACCCCCGTCGACGCCCGTTTCAACCGGGTCAACTCCGTGTGCACCGCTGCTGCTTCACATCCCATCAGGGTTCCTTTCCGGGAGATGGCCCATAATTTTGTTGTTCTGCCTAATTATTTTCGGTTCCCATACTTAGGAGTCCCCTTTAAGAGGTAACTATAAAGCTGACATCGTGAGACTATATATATGAACGCGGTTTTATGACAGCGTTTACGTGAGGTTGGGACTATGCCTAGAACATCGGAAAAGCGTTTACACTAACACAGGTCCCATGAAGTTACTAAGAGCGCAAAGTGACGTTGCTCATGTGGTCGGTATTGTGGCATGAACATATATGTGGCAGTAATGACACGCTGGAATCGGTTAGAAAGCATTTGAGGTAGTGTAAATAGTGTTACTAAACCCAAGGATGAGATTTTCAAAACTGATATTGATGCCTCAAAGTGCATTTAAAGTTCACGTTCAAGCATTGTTACACAATTCACCGAAGCAAGCGCCTGCAGTACGCTTTGCGTTTTCGTGAGTGATCGAAACGCCACTCACCCGACCTGTCCTTCTCGGGAGCCACGTCGGTGTCCCTGGTAGGAATCAGGTGACTTGGCTGCCGTGGAGAAGTTCCTGCAGCCAGGGCCTTGTGCACCAGCCCAGTCAGACTTGCAAGCTGACGTTCCATATACTCCACACGCATTCTGTGTGGGGGAAATGAAGTTTAGAAAGGTCACGCGAGCGGGACTGTCACGAGTATCCAAAATCGAAATTACTTTATAATTAAACGTCGAGCAGAACACAACGACACTAGTGGTGATCATTTGAATGTCCTACGCCACTGTTGTTTCTACTTATGCTTATGAAAGTAAGAAAACATACATACAGCTTATAAGCTGCACTGCAGCAACACATGGTCTCCGACTAAAAGGAGACGCACTAAAAGATTTATTGCAGTCTGTTAATGTCCGATTATGAAAAAAAAATAATGCATTACATTATATAAACTTACATCCTTTACACAACACATATCGTTGGCGTACAAAAATCACTTCTTTCGCAGTCGCAGAGTAAAGGATCTCTGCGCTTTCGTAACATTTACGGGCAGGCAAGTTTACGGGGCTCATAGGTATAACAGCACTAACGTAACAAGGCCCTAGTTGAGTTTTCTTGGTTCCTTTGTTACGTCTGATCTGTTATATTCATGAGACAGTTTCTGAGCGCCCCTTACCGGGCTTCTTCGTCGATGATGGGCGTGGCGCTGCCCGAGCGCGATCCGTAAGCGGCGGCGGCATCCCCGCCGTAGAAGGGCTCTTCGTAGGCCGAGTTGAAGGTGGCCGGCAAGGAGCGCGTGTGGTCGAGTCGGCGCTCGGGCGAGTATCCCGGATCACCACGACCCCGGTCGTCGGCCGGTGGGTAGCCGGCCAGATCGTAGCGGCGAGGGGACGTAGGCGGTGGGTACGGACCCGCTGGCACTCCGCCCGCCGGGAACGGCGCACCCACCACCGGCGGGTAGCCCGCCTCGGCCAGAAGGCCACCGCCCCGGTCCGGAGACAGAGCGCGTGGCGGCGGGGGCACTGCGCGGGCGGGCGTGCCGTTCAACGATTAGCGTCAGCAATTCGTCATCAGTGCCGTCAGTTCACTAATGCACTTTACAATATGAATGGCTCTTCTAACATGGGACACTTTATTCGAAGGTCACAGGTGTGGGCCTCCTGCAAGCTGCATCGTTTATTTGCTTATCTGTCTGCTTGTTTGTGGCCTGTCGACTTTGGCACATATACCCGGCAAGCTATCTTGCCGGATATAACGTGCCGTTAATATTCGCATTCTTTCGCCTTCCCAACAACTATACCAACTTATGCTGTCACGCCCCAACCAGTTTTTAACTAAGGTTCTAAAATTTAGTATTTCGTCACATGAAGTAAAGGCAAAGTAATTGATTTTTTCGCTGTCCAAAATTGTGGTTTTCTTCCAGCAGGATCTATTTTGTACATCTAACAGTGCAACAATTATATTCGCACCACGTTAAACATCCCTGCCACCATCGAAATTGTAGGTTTAGTTAGAGTGGCCTAGTTTAATAAAAGATGCCCGCTGGTTGTCTCTAAGCCCCACTACTGCCTTTCGGTATCCTTAGCTGTGGTCTATATTCCTTTTTTATCTACTCCTGATGGCTCGATCTTTAGTTCCTCCACCCATTCCCGTGTTTCGCTATCATCCATTCTTCTTCTCTCTGAGTTTAAAAATGTTGCACAACATTAGAATAATTCGTTAGATTGCAATGACTGCTCATGTTCATTTCTCCGTTAAAGAAGCGTATATTCTGGACCAGTACAACTGTTCGAGAATAAAATTTATAGCCTCGAGTAGACTGTTCGAATTTTTTTTTCAAACTTCGTGCGCGTCAAACGATTGCCATTCGCAAATTCGTCAAGGAAATATAACCCGATTATGTGATTTCTCGCATTTTTTTTTTGTCCGATAACAAGACCCTCGTTTCAGTACCTTACAAAAGAGATTGAGAATATTCCGAGCTGTCAGTGTTGTGACTAGAATGAATGAATGCCGAATTTCGGTACGTCTATAGGGGTGCCTCAACGAGCGCGCGCACATCGAGGCATGCTAGTTTCTACGTCTAAAGCGTTGAACAGCACCCATCATGAGTTATACGAGAGATTTTCCAAGCCCATTCCATACCAAGGGGCGGCAGCACGTGTTTCGACGATACGATATGCTTCTCCTTTGAGCCCGTAGTCTTGCTTGTGACATCAACTGTACGTGGAAAAAAAAAATGTTTTCTATTCTCAGACTATACCACGATGGCGCTGTGCTAAGTTGCGACCTTTGGAGGGATGATCGGGGACGTGTTCTCATGCAGCTCTACTTTCGAGGCTTTTTCTTTAAATGTGTTGATATAAGTATACTTCGTGCAATGTGCTAATAAAAGCAGCTTAGAGTGAGTGCCTATACCACGTACATTAATAACGGAATACTCGATCGTTATGAAGTCAGCAATTGAACGTATGTGATGGGATGCGTGCGTCGTGACTTTGTGACATGATGTGGCAAAGTGATGCAGGCATAACAACCAATCGTTGTCTGTAAGAAAATTGTGTGCATAACAGTGAACAAGGAGATTAATAGGTTATACCAGCCACAAGATGTAGTATGTGCTAAACGTGTTGTGGTTCTTAGAAATGCCCACATTTTAACATTCTAAACATTGGTCGCCCTCCAACATGACACTAATAGGTATATTCCATCATTCTACAGACACTGAGATACGGTTTTTTTTATACTGATTCAGCAGTGCGATGTTTCTCATCTTCCATTTATTTTTTCTACATGCATGCTCGCGGCACGCGCGTACTTATCTGATCTCTTTTGACAGCGACAACAGGTCATATCTTTCGACACGGGAGGGCGGTTTTGCACTCTGGAGCCCGCGGTTATCTACCACTGTGTCGTGTGTACAGCGAACGCCGTGAGTTGTCACGCACCCTCTCTAAGTGTCGGCCCAAAAAACATGGTTCGCGCACCAGGCCACGCAAGCTAAGTTCTGTGATGTCACCACGCCTGCGCGATAACGTAAACTGTCGCACGCACCCCATTAAGCTAACCAGTGATCTCGTGCAAAGCTACACAAACGCTGCCGGCATCCGCAGCAGCACCAACACTTCGACGGAAAGGGCGCACTTCGCCGGATCGTTTTACAGATATTTTTTTCCAGTAAGCACGTCTCGAACTGTATGAGCGCACTCAATTCATGGAAAAAAGTACGACATGGGCAGGAAGCATGCTCAGCTTTCATGGCGGGTTGCCAGTCTGAAACGCACTTTCATGGGTCGTACATGCTGCGCCGAATGGGCAGGTTTACGTCAAATCACTATCGTAAGCAGCATTACGATAGACCTATTGGTCAGGGACGTCACGTCGCAACTATCAGTGATGATAAATTTCGCCTAGCTAAATAATGTTGTCATGGATAAGTCGCATGCAGGGCTACAAATACAAAAGAGTCAAGAAGTGTTTTAAAAAGAAAACAAAACAGGCTAAGGAAGGATCACTTACGTTCTAAAAGTAGCCTTCATCATACCAGAGAGACCACAAGGAAGGGTGCACGGGTAACTTAAAGGTCCCCTCACCAGGCATTGCAAAGTAACGAACGGCACGCATAGATGATGTGGTGGCGATTGCATCTGCGGAATTTGAAGCAGGTGTACGACGCGCTTCAAGTGAGAGTTCGAGTCACACGCATTGAACTCGGGAAGCTTGCAGGCAACGTCAGCGACTGTAGCCCGTGACTGCTATTATTCGTCCGAATAAAAACAGGCAACGTGACTACTATAGATGCGCCGCAGAATTAACTAAACAGAGTGCGAAGCGTGGAGTTCGGGCTTTTCACGTCTCACGCGGTTCCTTGGCGCCGTTAATAGGGAGGACGCTGAGAGAGAATGCCACTTCAAAACGCCAATAGGGTCAAAAGAAGAGATTCCCAGCCTTGGCCGTGAGGCCCGCCTCCTGGTGGCACTGTGGCTAGAAGGTTTTATTTCGTTCATAACACTACAAATAGAGAGAAAATTGACTGCTGAAATGCATGGGTCAGTGGCCTAAGCAGGGGCAATGATCAGTGGACGGGCTTCTTTTACAAATATTTATTTAATTTATTATTCTATTTGAACCACCTTGAACTATTGTATCGTTATATTGGTGCATACAATGTACTTTTGAAGTTTCCTTATAGAACGGATATCTGGGACGCTGCCTGGTGAGAGGACCTTTGAAAGACCCTCGGGTGTCTATAATGCAAGTCGTGCACATAGGGCTTCAACGAACGTGCAGCACCGTACGTTGCCGATGTACGAACGGCAGCTCGTGCAAGTGGACGTGCAGGGCAGGCGTACAGAGACGGGCTCGCACCTGGCCTCGGCAGAGGGGACCTCGGGGAGGTGAGGGGGGAGGCGACCTGCAGGGGCGGCGGTGGCTGTCCGTAGAACCGCTGCGGCTTGGCCGGCGCCACTCCCGGCGGGCCTGCGCGCCGCCCCCGCTCTCACTCGCAAGACAAGGAGGCACACACACACGCACAACACAGTGTGGCTACGTACACACACACGCGCACACACAATTGAACAATGAAACCTGTACTAATGAAATCCCTGCACCCTTTTCCTCAAGAAGAAAATGACGAAATTGAAAACGAAACGTCAGCAGTAATGTGGCTTTTCATATGCTTCTCATATGCTACCATAACGCCATAGTGTACATGCAGACTTACAGTACAGTGTATTAAGGACATAGCGGGCTCAAAATGTCGCTAATTAGACGACGTCCAAAAAAAAAACAATCCAAGGATTTCAGTAATGGCACTCCACTGCCATTTCTATATATACGCACACACTGGGTAACACGCTGCTTTGGCTAAACATCGGCTGTTACACCCTACTACATGTCCTAAAGCTATGCTATGAGCATAGGCGTGCGTAGGATTTCCCATCACGAAGGGGGGGGGGGGGTAAGGTTCGACACAGTGATCCTCCTTCCATTAAGTCATTGCCCCCCTCAGGTGAATAGGGGAGCGGCTGCCCTTGCCCCTATCCCCCGTACGCACGCGTGGTCATGAGCCCCAATTCGTGTACGCTGACTCGTATGGTAAAACGATCGTGAAAATCTAAGACACCACGAAATGCGGAGGAACAGAGAAACCTAGAGTACACTATGGAAAAAAAAGCAAGATTGCAGCTTATAGAACATTGAGCACACTCTTCATTCTTGCGTGTATAACTAGATAACTTCATCTTATATGATGTAACTCGTGTTGTAGCTTTCAAAGCGGTTAGCATCTTCGCATCTTTATGAAGTTTTGCCTTCTTGCCTTAATTCTTCTTGTTACACAATACGACAAAAAATTACTCCTGGTCATGGTAGAATTTCCGAGTAATTTGACGCGACCGCATTCTGTACCTCAGCGTTTCGGCAGATAGTATAAGGCGGCAACAGCGTGCAAACACATTTCCGTTCTTCGAATCACAGCCTGAACAACCGGACTAGATAGACGGGTAGCATTTAAGAAAAAGTAAGGGGCAAGCGTTCACAAGAGTGATTCCACTCTTTCAAGGTAAACATATTTGACGAAGCTCTATCAGTATGGGCAAAAAAATGTGCAATTAAAACAAACTGTCCAGCCACTTTTAGTATATAGGTTCTAGTATTAAAATGATATTATAGACGCATTCAGTCTTTTCTTCAGGAGGCGACTGTCCGGCCGGCCGGGAAGTCACGCTTTGAAGAAGAGATCCAATGGGTCTCGAAACGTAGGGCCAGCTCTTGATTTTTAATAATTAAAAAAAAACCTTTACACTAAAATTGGCTGGGGAGTCTGTTTATTCTTTCCACTTTTTACAGGCAAGATACAGTGCTGACTATGTTGTGACTCTGCATATTTGCCTTCTGACTGCTCCGACCTGAACATGCGCTCGGTACAAAAACCTGGTACTGCATAATGCCTCTTCCTCTGGATGCACGACGATGCCACGCGTTTGTTTCGTGCCATTGTGATTTAATAAATCATCTCCGTGTGCGTGGGTACAATGCATCCAAGCAGTGACCTCGAGGCTAACAGAAATCCCTACACGGCGTCATGCGTCATACGTCGCGCACGAACCATACGGAAACGCAAAGATACATTGCCACGGATACGTGTGTATCGTGATTCCGCTGACCTCACTACGAGACAAGATGCAAGCGCAAGCAATAAGCAAAGACACAACACGACATCGAAAGCACGCCACAATTATGACGAAACAATGGCTTATACGTCAAGGCAGCATACGACAAAAGACGGGCACACGCCACGGGGAACAGCGGGCCCGACAATGCAGCAACGCAACACGTCCATTGCAGTTAGATAAAGGTAGACACAATGAGAATGCAGCTGGCTAATAGCGACAGTAAATACAACAGACAACTAGCTACAGTTAAATCACCTGTCCAACTGGTATAGACGGCATCGCTTGCTGGCAGAGGCAAATGCGTCAAAACTTGCTTCTTGTAGGCTTAGTGTCAGTGCAAAGAAGTTAGCTCAAATAGTGAATGTAAGCACTTTTTTACTTTTACAAAGCTGAGGGAAGAAGTATGAACGTCATTACTGCCGTTCCGAATATTTTTTTTTTCTGAAGGAACCACCCACACAACAGCTGTCACATCTCGCGCTTTTAGCTGACATCAACGGCATGGACAATGTTTTTCGTATTGAAGCCCTTCAATACGCGATACCAGCGTTCTCGCCCACCCTATGTCAGTGCACATTGAATAGGTATGCCGGAAGGCAAAAATTCTTGTCCATACCGTGAGTATTAGGAGTTTATCTACCTCGCTGCACATGTATATATAGCGCGGTTTTCCTGCCTAGTATAGTGCATCCCGCACTAAGTAGGGGGTGAGTGAGTTAATTAAAAGCAGTGGCATGTTGAAACAATACTGCAGCTGAAGAAAAGAGAGGGTGCTATAACGCTTCTTGATTCTCACAAGCATCACAACACCAAATGACGCGAGTTTGACATCGATTGCCTCCATATCACGGGTTCTTACGGACCTGGCACCATTTTGTCGACCCTATTATTGCGATAACATTTATATAGACCGTCTCGGCTGGTTCGTAGGTTCGATTCTTGCTCACGGCAAGTTATTTTTTCACCCACTTTTCTTTCTTCTATTTAGATCACATTGGTTCTAATAACTTCCCCTATACATTCCTTGGCATTATTGTCTGTTAAATCTCATTAATATAGTGTCAAAACACGGAAAAACGAGCCCTTAGGTATACACTCCTTTCTTTTATTAATTAACGAGGGTCTCGTGCTGGCAGACTTGGTGTCGTTTGGTTGTATATGGGGGAATATTGGTCAGCTGTCCGCTCGTAATAACTTCACGTGCCACGTGACGCCACACAGGCTCACAAAAGGGTGTTTCACACGCGACGCCATGGCTACAGATGGCGCCGACTAACACTCCCACGTTTAAATTCACATAACAAACCAATAAAGTGGCTGGAGGGATAGCCGCCGTGATAGCTCAGTGGCTAGAGCATCGAACGCGTTATTCGAACGTCGTTGGTTCGATTCCTGCTCACGGCAAGTTATTTTTTCACCCACTTTTCTTTCTTATTTATATTACATTGGTTCTAATAACTTCCCCTATACATTCCTTGGCATTATTGTCTGTTAGATCTCATCATATATATATATATATATATATATATATATATATATATATATATATATATATATATATATATATATATATATATATATATATATGATGAATGAGACGTGGCCTGGCTCATACGCCATGTTTGTTCTATTCTCACTTATAGCGTCACATATATATGCAAGAACGCACTAGCCTCCTCTTTCTTCGGAGCGAACATCACCTTTCTGGCCGGGGTCGTATGCACGCGCGCTTATCTCGTGAACGAACAAGGTGGGAGGGGGGTGCTTATGGTTGCCGCGCTATCGACGCAACGATCAGCGTGCACTTTGTGCTCCCATAGCAGGCGGGAGCTTCTACTGGCTGCACTTTCAACACGAAAAACCGGTGCCAAACTGTACCTGGAGCGGCCGTGTTCTCTTAAGGCGCATTTACACTAGAGAAACAGGACACCGATTTTGGTCTGCCGAGTGACTTTGGGTGTCGTCATCATGTTTACACTACAACAACACAAACAGTCCGCTGATGGTCTCTGGAAGACTTCTCCTATGCCTTGTCATGCTCACAGCCTCTCGTTGGCCAATTCTGTAATTACACTGGAGACACACGCAGCGACGCAGACTAAACTTGCACACCTGCCCCTCATTTTCAGGCATGCTCTCTGCTCTGCCATTGTTCCTCTCCGGCTACGCGGCACAGCCCCCGCCATATTCCACGGCATCGAGGGATAGGGCTAGAGATACACATCAGAAAAGCGAAGAAAAGACTTCCGTGGGGTGCGCAAGGTGCCTACTGAAACGCCGTGGAAGCCTCGGAGTGGGCATAAATTGTTATGTCCCCCAAGATTTACCCCTTCGTGCTTGTTTGAAAGAAAGACATGGGCAAGTTTTAGATGCGGAAGCATCTTATACTCGCGCCTTGTAGTGCGCCGTCCGCGCCGTCCGCGCCGTCCGCACCGCTTCTCGAACCTTCGACAGCTGACGCGCGCGCATGCGCCGTCGCGCCGTCGCCCACTCTTCCACCATCTGTGCATCCCTTCCTCCTCTACACACCGCGCGCGCTTCACTCCTCCACCATCTGTGCACCCTTCCTCCTCTACACACCGCGTTCGACATCTACAATTCTCCTGATTCTCCAGTGGACGCGCATGTGGCGTCGCGCTTCGAGAACATTCAACAGCTGACAGTGCATGCGCCGTCGAGCTGTATATATACTCAAGGTCGGCGCTCGCTCGCTCAGTTGCCGCTCGTCGGTTGGTTTGTACGGCGCGTCGACGTCCAAGGTCGCGGTGAAATGAATTCCAACGAATCCACAAACACAATGATCGACGTCCCTTCGACCAGCGCCGCCCTCTCGCATACGTGTGTACGTGTTCACTCATTTAACACCCCCTCCTACAACCACGTTAACCAATTTAGCCATCGACCCAAGTAAGTCGCAATTTAACACCCCATTTCACAACCACGTTAACCAATTTAGCCATCGACCCAAGTAAGTCGCACTTTAACACCCCGTTAACCAATTATATGCTCCGCATCCTCCTCAGTGTTCCCCCGAGGGAAGCTGCGGGCAATTTTTTTTCGCTTAGCGCCAGATTTCTCGACGACACGCGGACGACAAGTTTGCCTATGCATTTTGCTGGTGTTTTCGGTCTGTCATTACGTTACACTACGACGACATGCTGTATTTTGAGGCAGCGTTGTCGTCGTCGGCCTATAGTGTGACCATCGGGTCTGGCAACTCGTCAGCCGATGGTCTGCGTCTGCCTCGCGTCTCGTCGGGGTTGTGTCAGCGTCGTGACGCTCTAGTGTGAACGCGCCTTTACATCGGCATTTTTTAGAGTTACGGGAAATCAAATGCTAGCCTTGCTTCGTAAAAAATTCGAATATTTTGCTATCGCATTTATTGCTTTGCCCTTTCGGGGAAACTGTGACTTATTTTCACTATCTATACGAGTGAAGCAGACTTGAGTTGCACCAACGTAACGTATACACGCATTTTCCATGCACGCTTTTTTACAGCCAAGGTTTCTTATCACTGTAACCCCTGTAACGACCCAACTGAAAACCATGTTATTTAGAAACGAATGAATAAAAGGGAAAGAAAACTGTCCATTTAAAGTGCGCCTCTTTACCAATTTTACCTGAAAGCGGTCCAATAACAGAGGCATATTTTGTAGAGGCTGCCATATTCAGTTCTGCCGTTGACACATGCTGACAGCTGATGAATTTCAATTTCGTGTATTTTTCAACCTTTTGAAGCTTTGAACAAAAAAACCAGCCGTTTCAAAAATTTTGTACAACATAAATAGTCAACCAATCGGAAGCTGTCAAGCCAAACTGACACTTCATTTCACAATGACAACGCATTTCATGCGCGATTTTTATGGAACGCGATAAAGAGGCTGCCACGTGCCTCTCACTGCTTGCATGAATGACATCTTATCGATCAGAACAAGCGCTCACGTGGACATGACTATAGAATAAATCTGCTCACAGCATCCTAAGTTTTCTCTCAAAGCTCGTAGAAGGCTATGATCGTTTGATTGATTGATATGTGGGGTTTAACGTCCCAAAACCACTATATGATTATGAGAGACGCCGTAGTGGAGGGCTCCGGAAATTTAGACCACCTGGGGTTCTTTAACGTGCACCCAAATCTGAGCACACGGGCCTACAACATCTCCGCCTCCATCGGAAATGCAGCCGCCGCAGCCGGGATAAGGCTATGATCGTTTGTCGTATTCATTCACACTCTTTATGATGTCCATATTTTCTTTGAACTAACCTAATCTTAAGCGGGCGAACTTCAGGCTCGCTGTCATACAGGGGTGTTGTTCCACCCTTTGGTATCTATAACGACGCTGAAGCTGACCCCGTCTTTTTTATGTGCAACGTATTAGGTGCCAAGATAAAGTACCTTTATTGCTTAACTATCAACTGGAATACCAACACCATTCTTTTGCTCGTTGATAAATTCTCCCATCTACTGATCATTTATTACAGGGGCCTCAAACACGCGACCCACGGCTGCTAGCAGTCCGCGGGTTCACAAGAAGTAAATTTTGCTAAATGGTGCTGCCATTGTTTGCTCCCCTATTTCTATTAATAACGCACTGATTGTTCGGGTGAGCTGCACGGACGTGACTGCTGTATAGTATTTTTTTAACATTGGAGTGTTTTATGCTCGCGTTCACCAAGACTTCAGTGACGTGTTTCAATGCCGGAAACGACGTTGAAAAACTTCATTACGTAAAAAGGTTTCGTTACAAGCACGCCTTTTATAAATCATACTTTTCTGTCGCAGTGCTCTTGGCCTGCGGGATAATATCACCCTCTTGGAGCGGTAAAGTCAAGAAATGCATTACGACTGTGGCCTTCATGATTAGCTCCTGCAACGTGTCGTTGCTATGCGCCTGTTTTATTCGGTGCACTTCTAAGTGCAGAAGTGCAATTTTTCGAACACTTTAACCCACCGCGCCGTAGCGACCTCAGCCAAAGCATCGGCGTCACTCATGCCATCTATTCATGCCAAAAATAGATCCACAACGCACGTCTGCCTTGTCTGGCTGTATGACACCATGTTCCCCGCTTAAGCTTGCCCCGAAAAACATTTGCGGGACCAGGCTACTGGGGAGACTTGACTTACTTCCCGTTTTCCTCTAGTACGGCCGTGATATTTCATAACTCCTAAACATGCCAGTGATCGCAACTTTTCCCAAGTTCCACACTGAATCGGCGACACTTTTCTGTCTGTCACAGCGTGTTTTCTGATGACGTTCTCGACGTTAAAAGCCACAGCCTTTACGATTGTTTGCTTAATAATTTATCATGGGAGTTAGTATTTGGGGTAACAAGTACCACGACGCGTCAACGTACACGTATTCACGTTGAAAGTTGCTGTAGCTGTGAAATACCAACAGACATTCTAATTTATCTCTATTACACCAATTTACAGTAAGTATTCAGCTACTTCTGTGAGGACACATTCTCTGTTCGTGTTATACTGATTTTTATACTGATTGCTATGAGTGAGACATCTATCTTTTTTTTTTTTTACATGAGGCACCACATGTGGTCACCATGTGTTAAAACATACACCGCGGAACAAAAACTAAATATCTCCGATTTCTCAACGAGCATCCAGGCTTTAGTCGTACTGGAGATAAGTATCGACATGCTATTCTAATTGTGGCGTCAAATTTGAGTACGTTCCGTGCGTGATTTGTGCGTGACAAACGCAGGGCCCGTTTCGATCTGCTTGTCATTCTGCGCGTGACCTTCCAATTAGTTCTTATTGCGTTCATTGCTTCGCATTTGCAGCAAAGCTGCGACTTCTTTGTTTCTTTTTGTTTCTTGAGGCACTGTCGTTCGATACTAGCTAGTAAATTTTTAATGACAAAGTCTCGCTATCTAACGAGCATTTATTTTTGGAAACACGTGCATAATAGCAGCCGTGGAATTTTGTTAATAATGCCTTTGACATTTTGTTCCTTCGACGTCTGCTTCCAGCTATTTTGATAATGCATTTTCTCTCGTATTCAATTCCCTCTTATGGTGCAATTCAATCTCTGTCAAGGAGTATAAAAATGGTATCAGTGGAGCTTCTGTACTTTTATAAGGAAGTGCTTGTACTTATCTTGAAAAAGCGCCTGGTCCTCCTTGCAGTGCTCATAATCCGTCAAACAGAGTGATTCTATTTTCCTAAATAGAGTACATCTACTCCTTGAGGAAGAGCACTTGTAGTACGCTATTGCAACTGATCTACTGTCAACCCCCGCACTTTGTCGAATCTCAAGATCAGCTCATGTCGCTGGTACGACAAATGGCCCAGGATTTATTTTGTCGGTACTTGGAGTCTGATTTCGGTTTCGTCTGCAGCTGTATTATTGTGCGAATCAATTGAATTTTTCTTCGCTTTTTATTTCGTCTTTCGTACTCCAGCCAGTTACTACACGACACGGTTATCCCGGAGCAGTTATCGTTGCCATCAATCGCTCATAAGAACGGCTCGTAAGCGATAAGCATTGAAGTTATATTGATCTCTAGCAAATTCTTCTCCAGTTAAGTACAAAGGTATCGCAATGCTACGACATAAGAGTGGTGGCGCGCAGTGCCAATGTGAAGCAACACAGTAGGTGAGAGTAGCACTGAGCCTGGAAAACGCAGAGTTGTCGTCCTTCGCTAGATGACCTTACTTCCCTATTTCGTTTTGTTTGTAGCACAGGTTGACGCTGTTTATTCATTGGCTTTATTCTACTCCTCTCACTGACACACACATAAAAAATAAAGCGATGTGTACTTCGTCAGAAGCTGACATCACGTTCCTTGTAGCCCTGCAAAGGGCAAACCCCTCTTCGTAAGTAAAGGTAGCTCATGCTGTATAAGGACGTGTGTGTAGCACTAACAGGAGGTGAGAAAGGTTAAAAAAAGAACACAGAGGACAAAGCAGTGCAACGTGAGGGCATAGTGGCAGAGACGAGGAGCAAAGCCCACTGACCGGCGGCGGTCACGAGCAGGCCAGGCTGCCTCTTTTCCGGACTCAGCGCCACCGACGAGTAGGTCATTCCTCGGGGAAGGGTTTGCGAGTAGCCTGCGCAGTGGCAGCGGCACAGAAAAATGAGAAGGTGCGGTTGCGTGGTGCAAGAGAGAAGAGCGCACGAAAGCAATGAGGCAGAGACGGAGGGGAGAGAGAGAGTAAAGCGTGGGTATGAAGCCTTCCAGGCATCTCGGTGCCAGTAGTTGAAAAAGAAACGAAAATTAGGAGCTTATGACAGATCGGGAAAAGTGCTGCTGCATGACAGCGAGGGAGCCGCTTCTTAGAGCAAGTGTGTCGTAAGCTGTTTTAGCCTTTTATGTCAAATATACACTGCACTACTGGTTCAAATATCTACTTTGCGGTGCGTATTTTGCATCCCTATGGGGCTTCTGAAGATAGTAACAGTACTACAACTCTGCCGAAATGTTGCGCACGGTCTCGAATTGTACATAGAGGAGTTGAAGACAGAAACGGACACACACAGAGAACACTGTGAAGAACACAGTGGTACTACTGCCTGCTGTTCACTTCTGCCACGCTATCATAGTTTTTTATATATTTTGTAGTGTTCTTGTACATGCGAAACATCGCAGTAAACTGAGAAATGCCAACTAGCTAGCCCAGCAATCTTGTTTTGTGGTACGAATTCGGGACAATTCTACATAGAGAGCGACGCCTTCCCATCATCACCGAAGTTGACACATATCATATTTATAGCCGAAGAGAACTTTAGAAGCCTGCGTTATTTGTCCCTCAGAAACGGACGTATACACGACCTTCCATCAATGGGCGAACACTCCAGACTGACGTCATGAGTCGGATAGCCGGTAACCCCGTCTTAGGAGGGCATTGGCGCTGTGCACGAGCTGGGGACAGGTTCAATTCGTCCTCCACTGATGGGCTAGGGCTGGCGAGCAGCGCACCGCCTTCTCGCGGTCTTCCTTCCACAACGTAATTTTGACACCACGCCACTTTCACAACTCTTTACAAAAATGAGGAAGACATAATGCGTTTTGCCACAATGAATGCTGCCCCCAGAGACTCGCTTTTGGACGCACATCTGTGAGGCCGTGAATGGACTCTAATGACGTTAGCCTTTTAATCAGCTTTGACGCAGCCGCCCGCCTGATGCCCCTGGAAGGTCGGTACGGATTCCCAGCATCAATCTTCAAACGTCTTATCACGTTCATAGTCCGTTCAGACTTGTACAGTTTTTTTTTTTAAGAGTCCCGTCGCTCCACGCTTGGTCCACTTAGTTTCTTTTTACACTGGGAATGTGCTGGTTGGTTCGGTGAGCCGACATGGTCAAGCACGCACCAACGTCCCCACTCGCCATGTTTTCGCGTAACTGAACGCATTCCGTCGAAGTGGACACGTCCACGAATTGTACGGCGAGAATCGCGCCCCTGGACTGGTGTTTTACTTGCAGGGGGTATCGGCTGCCACGCTTCAGTCATCTGCGCTACGAATTCGTGTCTAAATATAGCAGTTTCATGCCTTTCTTTTCGTAGTATAGCAAAATTAGTTAGGTTCGTTGTATTATGCTTTTCTTTCATGCGGTATCAAAAGTGGCTCGTTTTGTCAATCACTCTATATCAAACATGTATTTCCTCTCTCCCTCTCTCTCTATCATCTGCAATTGCCGACTGTTTAGTCTGTTGTCTTTGCAATGACTTGCTCCTACTGAGGCTAAGGCAAACAAAAAAAAACGAAAAGAAAATCTCTATTGAGTGCGTTTTACTCTGATGCACTGCTTTAGATTCCCCCCTATTCAAACTCCGTAACAGATATACACGCTCTAAAAACATGAAGAGATGAAAGAAAGAAAACTAAACAATATAGCTTGACGAACCTAAGAGTAGTTTAGAGTTAAGGTAACAGACCTGGGCTCGGCTTGGGCCTCTCCTGCGGTGCGGGCGAGAAGGGCCGGATAGTGGCTCCGTGCGGAAGTGTCTGTGTCCGGCCTGCTGGTGGGTAGGCTGGCACTCCGTAATAACCCGCTCCTTGAGACTTTCCCGCCTAGCCGACAAGAAGGGACAAAGAAGTACGCACAGTGCATATTTCCGCCATGCCCATGAAGGCACTGGGAAACAAAGCAAGGATGAAGAAAAACAACTCAAGCTTCTTCATGAAGATGTTGTCAGTGCCGAGGTTCAGTGATTCAAGTGGTAAGGAAATATGACCAAGCCAAAATTGTACCGCTGTCCAATGGGCACTTATGATCTTGATCTATCAGCCGACCTGGATCTGTTTTTTTTTTAATCGTAATCGGCAATGGTTGTCGGTGTAAATTAATCCGCATTGTGTTTGGCGCAGTCGTAAGCCAAATCATCCTGGGAGCCTGATCACAATTACAAATGGCCTTGAAGCAGCCCCTGATCCGGAGAGAGCGTAATCCAGATATGTCCTGATCGCAATAGAACATGCACGCGTGACACGGGCGTTGCACTGAGTACACGCTTGGCCATGGCGCAACGCTCTGGCTACCGGAGAAGCTGAAAAAACGATTTGTAATCGACACTTCAATGAAGCTACTAAATTATTTATTTATTTATCTATCCAACATAACTCTAAAGCCATATAATATTACTGTGGGCAGTAGTTGCGAATCCGTGTAGATAGTCAAAGTGGGAACTATAAACTAAGATATCAATGCATGTCTATTAATTCCTGAAAGGAAACAAAAATACAAAGGCACATATTACCACACCTTATAAAAGCATAGTGACTTCAACACGAATGTGACATAGTACTTTCAAAACGAATCTTGATTTCAGATTCAGACAAGTTATACAGGAATGTGATTTCCCTCTTTTGGCTTTCTCAAGGGTCTCCCTTGATAATTTTGCGACTCCAATCCATGCCATTGTCGCCATACACCTAGCACATAGCCAGTGCTTCCCGAATGAATAGAGGAAGGACTGACCTTCGCCCTGTGTATGTGCTGGTTCTGATACTCCGAGTCGAATTCTGGCTTCCGAAAAGTAGCTCATGTCCTGGTCGTACGTGCTGTAGACACCCCCGTCGTTGACATCTTGCTCGTATATGCGTATCACTGATCGATCTCGGATGTCCCTGGGGTACAGAGAGATAAAGCGGTTCATCAAATCAAATTATAGCGATAAATTGGGCACGACGTGCGTGATCATAGCAAACGACAAGTAATGACACGTAGGACGTTCTGCAGTATAGACAACAGCCGACGTCTAAACCACACCTACGTGCACTTGAGCGTTAAAAAAAGAAAAAAAAATTGGGTTTAAAATTGTTTTCAGCTGACACAATGGGAGCCATAGTCTGGACATTACCTAAACAACAAAACTGATAATGAAATAAGCAAAAGTGAAACAATAGTGGTACTGATAACGGTACTGTTGCTTTAATATTATGAGATGCAGTGATTCTTTGCGGTGAAATATTGCATTCAGAAACTACCACGCACAAAAAACATATTGATATTTTATATTTTTTCACTTCACATTGAACAGCCAATCAAGATTTACTAGGTAAAATGACACAAATTGGTCGCTTTATTGTTCGGCCTCTTTTTTCTCAATGGCAATGTCTCTTTTTTCGCGCTCATTTCCCGTATGTCTGACCCCCTTTCTGTAATTTGAGAATGTTGGCGTATGTGAGTGGTACCCTATATTTTGCATTTTTTCTTTCTCTTGTCCATATTTTTTACCCTGGCTGTAGGGTACAAAGCATATTTCCCTTCTGGTTAACCTTCCTGCATTTGTACTGTCTGTCTGTCTGTCTGTCTGTCTGTATGTATGTATGTATGTATGTATGTATGTATGTATGTATGTATGTATGTATGTATGTATGTATGTATGTATGTATGTATGTATGTATGTATGTACAAATGTATGTATGTATGTATGTATGTATGTATGTATGTATGTATGTATGTATGTATGTATGTATGTATGTATGTATGTATGTATGTAGTATGTATGTATGTATGTATGTATGTATGTATGTATGTATGTATGTATGTATGTATGAACGTACGTATGTATGTCTCACCTGAGGTCCTCGAGCTCGTAAAACATGTCCTTGGAGGGGTCGTGAATGTAGATGCGAATGTGCGGCGAGTCGAGATACTCCATGGTCAGCTGCTTCGGGAAGGATCGCACGAATAGCGCCTTCACCGTGTCGATCGACGTGATCTCGTTCGGCAGCAAAGCCCGCTTCGTCTCGCTCCGGTACTGAAGGAAAACCAGGCCTGCGAGCATTCCCCCGCCACCAAAGACAGATATCTCTTGTACCCATAGTATAAGCACATTGCGGGGTAGCATGAACGTGTACTGAAAGATATGAAATGTCACACAGGCAATATTATTTGCATCAATGCCTCTACCGCCTTGCTGTGACCGCGCGGTAAAATTAAACTACTGTGTGAATGCACATTTAAATATGCCATCGTTAAGGGAAGGTAGGCCGTGTGTCGGTGTATATCCTCGAGTCATACAGACAAAAGACAGTATTTCTTTACCTCTCATTACTGTGAGCGGTAAACGAATTCAAAAACACAATTTTCTGGACTGGCCGCGATTCTATACCAAGAAAGCGATCGTCCAGATGGGCTCAAATAGCAGAGTTGACTGGGCATAATTCAGTACTAAAGTTACACTCTAAATTGTCACTTAATGGTGCGCCGTACTCATGCTGTGCCATATAGGCTTATTACACTTTCATCCGTGTGGTTATGGTCGCCACAGTGAGAAAAAAAAAACATTATCTGACCTGTTTCAACCTCCAGTAGGGCTATATTTTCTGTGTGTGTTCATACTTGTCTGCTATCTGTGACGCCTGTTGTGAGTGGTGTAATGCGCGTGACACAAGTTTCCACGCACTCTCAATTTGCGAGTATGTTTTGAAAATTTATTACTATACACGTTTTCACAGGAGAGAAAAAAAACACCGTCATGATGGGCTGCGCGCGGGAGTACAATGGGTAAGGACGCAGCGTTGTCAATGCATTTTTGAGGGGTCACGCCAATTTGCGCAGCCCAAAAAGTACTGTGGCGGCACCCATAGAGGCATGTTTGAAAAGGTCTATAGCACTACCTTGAAATTCAAAGAACTGACTTTGTCCTCTAGTTCGGCGCTGTGCAAAAGAATTGCACCTGCCATAGAAATATGCTTTGTGCATACAATAATGGTGCGCACAAAGTCGGGCATAATGACGTTTTGTGAACGATGTGACGTGTAGAATGCTAAGCACACATACATTTTTTTTGTAAGAGAGCACAGTGGCACAAACAAGACGTGCATGAGAGATTTCGCAATCCAAGAAAGACGGGTGCTAGAAGCTGAGACCCATGAGCGGAAAACTTCGTCGTTGAGATGAACTAAACTAATAGTTGCAGTGGAGTAGTGAAATTGTGAGGCGTCACAATGTGCGACATTTCCGTCAGCAACACATTGTAGGTTCATTCCTTGACGCAACAAGCAAGTGACTAGTAATATGCGTCGGTTATTCCGTAGGCAATAACGTCAGCGCAATAGCGTTAAAGAGCTATTTTCGCAGAAATTTCGGTGTCGGTGTCGTTGGTTGTGAGAGAAAAATCGTCATTCTATGCGTGACCGAAAAATCGAGAGCGATGCAAATAAATTAAACAACTGATGAAAAACCCTGGAACAGAGTGGGGACCAAACCAGGGCAGTTAGGATCCGAGTGGGGATCGAACACGGGTCGTTTGCGTGGAAAGCGGATGTTCCAACACACGGCCACGCCTCTGCATGTGAAAACAGAGAAAAGCACTTCATCTGCTTGGATACGCTGTGAAAAGTGAAAGTAGCTTTCATGCCTCACAAAAACACGCGTCCTGTATATATGCTTCACAATGCAACATGAACTATTGCAGTAATAATGTGTGGTTAAGCCATCATTGACAACGGGCGCCAGAATATGTGATTATCGTAACGGCTCCGTAGGTGACAGCGTGTACCCCACCACAAAAGGCACACGCGCTACTGGACGTATTTCTTTAAGGATACGGAGTAGGTGCATAGCAAATTCGAAAAGGTTTCATGCACTATGTGGTACGCACTATACGAACAGGATGTCGCTAACACATTCAACTCCTAAAAGCGAAGCTTTAGGGTACCCTAGTTTTGCCTTTCTCGTTCTAAAACTCTTCAATAATTCTAGAATGTTTCTAGAATTAGGACAAATAAACCTTCGCAGGTCCTTGTGAACGAGAACAACGCATATCGTACGACTGTAGACGTACGAACTAGACCTATCGCGTTGAAGGCACTCAGCTTACTTTCTTAGGCGGCATATTACAATATTACAAAAAGTACAAAACTGCAGCGAAAAAAGCAGTTTGGATACATCTGTTAGAGAGTGAGGCGGGCAATCAACTGATGCCAGCTATGATTTCTCAAAACATATCCTACAATCGCTATTGCGGTCTACGTGAAGTCGGGAGCAAATACAAGATTTCTCGGACGTGAAGGTCTTTGCAAAAGGTGCCGCAACATTTGCCAAGAGAGTATTATTTGCCTGACACTTTCTTGATCCTTGCGATGTATACGTGTTGATATCCAATAATAGCTCAACTAAAATACATTGAACGGAACGCAACACAAAGGAAAAAGAAATGCCTAGCTTCTGTTGGCAAATTTTTAAAAAAGATAGATAGATATATGGGGTTTAATGTCTCAAAACCACCATATGATTATGAGAGACGCCGTAGTGGAGGGCTCCGGAAATTTCGACCACCTTGGGTTCTTTACCGTGCACCCAAATTTGAGCACACAGGCGTACAACATTTCCGCCTCCATCGGAAATGCGGCCGCCGCAGCCGGGATTCTATCCAGCGACCTGTGGGTCAGCCGCCGAGTGCCTTAGCCACTACACCACCGCGGCAGGGCAAATTTCTAAAGAAAAAAGGAAAAAAAAAATACTTTAGACAATATTGTTTTCTTAAGAAGGCCTCGAACCACATTTTACCTAATATTTGTCGAATAATCTCAGTTTCAGAGTTAACCACCTCACAAGTCGATTTCGCGAAAAATGGCCAAGTTCGTCGGGAATAAACCAATTTACAGAGACTTTTTTTTTGCAAGCATTTGGCATTTTCCCTTTTCTCCTGACGAGCATTCAGAAATCTACGCAGGGAAAGGGGAGAGAGGTTAGCGCGATGAAAGGAAGTAACGTGAGCGCGCGTTATGCTGTTGACTGCACGCGATGAAACAAGATCGCACTTTCCCGTCGTGATTTCTAGGCGCGTTTGCGTAGCTACCGCGCAATGTTCGCAGACTATATAGAGAACACGGTGCAGGCACATCGGGGAACCCTGTGTACTCACGTGATAAAACGCTACCATTGATTCATGTCGGCTATTGGCTAGTATTATGATCTCTTGTGTGACGTCAAACAGCATACGCTGGCCGCTGTGAAGAGAGTGAGGAAAAATCTTTGTATGAAAAGAAGGCGTCTAAGCGAATGGACACTCCGAGTTTCGCTTGTAAATTAAGGTCCCCTTGTTGCGGACACATTCGTTGTCTTGCGTAGCTGTTGAATTTAGCATCTGCCGTCCACAGAATATGTTTTTCCACTAAGCCTGAGGGGTAGTTGATGGCTTTTTGAGTGCTACTACGGTGCGGCGTGTAAGAAACGCGCAGAGTAGGCACATTTCGTATTCCGAAATGCTGCTGTATACGCACGTGTTCAGAAAAGGCCACGGTATTCCAAGACTGATATAAACATGAACGCCCCGCAAGCATATATTTGCACAGCCCGCACTTCATGGATCGATTGAGGTAGCACGACCGAACCATGGATGGTGTGCTGAGCATCAAAAATAGAAGGGCATTCTTTATAAGTACTAAATGTTGAAACGCGCGTCTGCATAACGTCAGTAGCCCGAAAGTACAGCTGGTGACCCCGCGCGTGATATACCAGCGAAGATCGAACTTTGGTGTGTTCGATCTTTTTTTTTAAATTTAAATTCATGCATTCTGCAGACCCGCAGTACAAAAAAAAAAAAAAACAAAGTAAAAAAGTGACAACTACAAACGTTCATGCCCGGCTCTGAAAATGAATTTGGAGGTTTATGTTAAAGTAATATCATGCGACGGATGCACGACATGATTGATCCTCATGTAAATGCGTTTTAGTGTATTCCTTTCAAATGCAGAAACATTTTTAAAAGAAGCTTAGAGCTTCGTCGTAATCCACATACTAGCGTCGCAAAGTAAGATAAAGTTGTCTGTAAGTAAAGCGACAACATAAAGAAAGTCAGTCCGCGACAAAACCATCGAATGTAGTGCGCCGTGCAATTCGAGCAACACCCACGAGTGCACACACACACGCTGTGATATAAAACCGTAGTGGTAGCAACAACCGGACAGCGACGGAGCTACGGTTGCGTGAAGCATGTTCATACACATTACTTTTCGGGGAGTTGTGTGCTTCAACAAAACAAAACAAAAAAAATGGCACCGTATCTGCATGTTTCTGCAAATGTCGTCGAAAGACGATAGTCTTGCGTGTGGAGAGAGTGAAAAACATTTATTTTATGTTCTGCGCAAGGATATCGGTGAATGGTATTCCGGAGGCGCTGCGTAAGAGTGCCTCGAGCGTGCAGCGGAGGCGAACGAGCGCATCAAGTCACGTCACACATGAGACATGAGCGCCATCTGGCAGTTCTTTTTGGAAAACAAAGCGCGTGGCCCTGAAACGGGAGTGCGCACCCGTCTCAAAGGTGATAAGGTGCAGAACGCAAGGCGACGGGCAAGTGCCACCACCGTGTTGTCATGGCAACGAATTAGAAACACTCGCTTCTTCATGCAAGCGTCGCATGGTCAGCGCATCGTGATAAGCGCTACGGTCCTTAGAATTACTTATGTATGCCTTTTCTAATAAAAGACGCACATGCAGAATATATGTGTGTTGTTACAGTGCCTGAGATATGCGCAATAATTCCTTTTCAATTGACAATCGCACACGTATGAACGCTGATCCTTGAGCAACATTGGTGGGCGCTGCGGATGGGGTCGGCCGTTCGGGGTATCGGCTGGCGCTGTTTAAAGTACCCAGATCGCGGTAACGATTGACAAACAGACAAATGTACAGACAGACAGACAGACAGACAGACAGACAGACAGACAGGCAGACCAAAGTTTTTGCGTCGAAGGTCCCCAAGAAAGACTATCATCTTTAATAGTCATTTGACTCTTTTTCTTAGCCCTGACTTGCCACGTTAGTGC